ATGCGCCGACTCTCTCAAAACCCTAACCTTGACCTGGCTGCCACCTTCGCCCCCAAAACCTTAACACGAACCGCCGCTACCTTCACCAACCATACCCCTATTCCTGTTACCACTTGGAAGGAATGGAGAGTGGGATGTGAGGGAATAGAGGGAGGACGGAGGGGGGGAGGGGGGAGGGGAGTTAGGGTAAAAGGAGAGGAAGACAGCGAGAAGCGGGATGAGAAGATAGGGTTAATTTTAGGGTTGGGCGGTTTGTGAGGAAAAAATTAAAAAAAACAAGAAAATGGTGGGGGATAAAATGTTATTTCGCGGTTACTTTTTGGCTAAAAAATGAGGTGAATGAGGCTAGGGATTCTTAGTTCGTATTTGGTGTCAATGCTAAAGCAGTTGTATTAGCAAGTAAATGTTGTTTACTCAAAAAAACTTGGAAGAGAGAGTGGTATGAGTAGTAACCCCAATTTGGCATGAAAGTAGTAGGATATAAGGAGGTTTGTGTGTGGAGAGTGGGTTTTTGATGTAAACCCAATATATGTTAGTAGATGTGATATTCATTAAATAACTAACATAAACGTTATTTATATGGTAGACATACTTTATTTTCAGGGTTTTAAGTAGTGTTGTTTAATACCATTCTTTATTGATAAAATGATAAATAAAAGAAACTTTTAGTTGTTTATATATATATGTTTATGATTGTACATTTTTGGTATGAAGAGCCACGAAAGTGCTACGTGAAGTCTTACTTATGTTTTTTGTTCTGATCATAGGGATTCCTCTGCATAAGTAGATTCATTGTTATACATGTTGCTACTGTGGTATTGGTGGAGCGCACAGGCCATTTTTCACAAGTTCTCTCTATGATAATGGCATCATACAACCGTTGATAATGATGGTTACCTTCATTGATTCTTCAAGTCCTCGCCGTTACTGGTTATTACCTGATGATGAACTAACGCAGTGAAGTCGTTCATTGTAGTGTCGTGTTATCGCATTCACTTCATACGGATGGAAACATAGATCTGCAAGACTCGAATATTGGTCACATCATTAACATAAGGATTCAGCAGTGCGCTGAAGGTATTGAGATCTCTGATAACTTGGCTGCGCAGATCAGTACCCAATGATTATCCTACCAACAGAGTGTGCTTTGTGGAGAAATACTTATGTATTCAAGTGATTGTATATAAATTCAACTAAACTCAATACCAGTACTATAGTATATATGTCCTAATATATACATCACAGTGATCATCAGTAATTGGTATTATACTATATATTATATTATATACTTATATATTTATATACATATATATAGGTATATTATAATATAATTCTTAGCTTCATAGTTCATATCATGGATTAAATAGATGTAGCGCATGTGTTAATCCTTGATTACAGACATTGATAATCAAGGCTAGACATTGACTAGTGTCATACTTTAATTATATAATACGTGGCTTGGTCATACCACATGTTCTGGATTATAACAGCTATAATAATCAACTATTGATACAGCGCGTTACATTTTATATGGATACATTGGCTGGATCATATGGACATCAATATAAATCGCAAAGTACACAATTGCTTGGTACGTTACTCTTTGTGTTGTACATACACAATGCACACATATATGCATGTGTATGAATGCACACGTCTACATACATGGATGTCTAGGAGTGCACATGAGCAGTCCCACAGTGAGTTAAAAGGAATATTGCACTATTACTGGTCATAATTAGTTGTCTTCCTTTGGATGACCGGCTCACATTATGATGTCTGAGATGTGTGCATGAATTTAGTTCCAAAGAATGTGTGGATCAACATAAACATGAATCAGGAAGTATACACTTTTGATGTGTGGATCATTATCTGATTATCATTAATTGGTAGGTGAACATCGATGTAGAGCACAGAGTATACCTAGTTCAAACTTCTCATGACCAATTAATGATAATCATTATCTGATTTAACTGTTAGGTAATTAAACTCATGAAACCAGGTACAAAAGGTGAGTAGCAACACATACGCGATAATAAAATTGTACATATGGTACATGATGGTTCAACTGAAAAAGAAAAGTTTTATTACTAAACCTATGCAATTTGATATTATAGGACATGTTTTTAGCTGGGACAGACACAACATAAAGTTTTATTACTAAACCTATGCAATTTGATATTATAGGACATGTTTTTAGCTGGGACAGACACAACATACACAGCAATTGAATGGGTGGTGGCAGAGCTCATCAAGAATCCAGATGTAATGAAGAGAGTACAAGAAGAGGTTCGAGGAATTACTTTATGTAGAGGAGAGATCACAGAGGAAAGCATTGATAGAATGAAGTACTTGAAAGCAGTAATTAAAGAAACTCTACGGCTGCACCCTCCTGGTCCTTTGTTACTTCCTCGAGAAACAATGGAAGAAGTTGAACTACAAGGTTATCATATTCCGGCTGGAACTAGAGTCATTGTCAATGCTTGGGCAATTGGAAGGGATCCAAGATCATGGGATAAGCCTGAAGAATTTTATCCTGAAAGATTTGTCAATTGCGACATTGATTTTAAAGGACAAGACTTCAAGCTTATACCCTTTGGTACTGGAAGAAGAGGTTGTCCTGGAATTGAATTTGCTATGGCTACAATTGAAATCACTCTTGCTCATCTCTCTGGAAGAAGAGGTTGTCCTGGAATTGAATTTGCTATGGCTACAATTGAAATCACTCTTGCTCATCTCTTGGGTCACTTTGATTGGGAATTGGCTGATGAAATGCAAGGAGAAGTTCTAGATATGAGTGAGTCACCTGGACTTACTGCTCATTGGGAATTGGCTGATGAAATGCAAGGAGAAGTTCTAGATATGAGTGAGTCACCTGGACTTACTGCTCCCAAGAGATCCAGTCTTGTTCTTGTTGCTAAATTGCCAATCACTTAGCTTAATACAAGTAACTTTAATGTCTTAAATTATCATCCTTCACTCTTGTAGTCCTATTGAAATGTAATAAGAAGTGGATATATATATCTTCCACAAACAGTTGTACTCTTGGATTGATGTTTGTATGGAGTGGCGCATATTTTACATGATGTGATATCCCAAAAACATACTTTCTCAAGTTCTAGTCAGGATGGTTGCGTCCAACTTGGTTACATGCATTCCATTTCTTTCTTTTCAATAGAAATTTGTTCTTTGCCTCTCTCTCTTGTCATGGAAATATGCAAAGGTCAATGAAATGCCAATTACTAGTTTCTTCCTAATGTGTTTCATTGTACTTACTACTATGTCGTAGTTATAAAGTCACCTTACTTTGAGGTAGAAATACTCAAATTTAGTTGTGGATTGAGTTCGTAATTGACACAACAAATGGGACATTTGGTTGCTTTGGTGTCGGCTCAGTTTTGGGAAAACTTCACTGAGGTGGAGAATTTTGAGCACGTGGTGGGGGCCATGTGTGTGAACGCGGGGTGCAAACCACGTGAAAAAAAAAGAAAACCGCGTGAATAGGCAAAGAAGGAAGAGCTGGCCCACCCGATGCAATTAAAGCTGTATATATAGCTTCAATTTCGTTCCTAGGGTTTGGTGCGAATGAGTTTTTTTTTATTGGTGCGGCTACAGGTGTGCGTTTGCAGCAAGGGGTTCGGGTGCAATTGGTTTTGCGGCTGCGGAGTTGTTTGGCGGCTGCAGGGAAATTTTGTGGCGGGTGCAAAAGAAAAACAACACCTTTTGTTTAGAGTTTGTGCATCCTCTTTGAGAGAGATTTGTGTGAGGGATTTGAGAGTTTGTTTGAGGGTTTAGTTTGTGAGTGATTGTAAACCCTAGTTGTATTCTCTCCCTCTATTAGTAGATCTCCCCCCTCCTTGCCCCGTGGACGTAGGCAATTTGCCGAACCACGTAAAACTTGGTTGTACTGCTTTTGTGTGATTTGTAATAGCTTTTAGGATCCCTCGACAGGTCAGTCCTAGAACTGATGAGAGGAAGAGCCGATATATCACTTGATTGAGATATCCGTTTCAGATTCTTGTCTTCTTGGTGAGACAGGAATTCTTATTGCGATCTGACTCTCTTGTTGTGCTGCCGATGTGCTGCCGAAATTTCCGCTGCGCGCAACAAGTGGTATCAGAGCGCAGATTTCAGATATAGGCTTTTTTTTGGTGGAGGAAGATTCTTGTGTGAAGCTTCGTTCTTGGAGTTCTAGGTTTCGGTGGAGATAGCATTAGGAGTTGCCGTTGGAGATTTCGCTTTCCTCGTGTGGTTAGGAAATCTATTTGGAATCCAATCTAGGATTCAGTTGGGTGGTTCCTAATTTTTATCAAATTTGTTCTTTTTCTACAATTTGGAGTTAGTTTGCAATGGGAGAAGAAGGTGAAAGCAGCAAGTCAATGGCGAGTATAATACAAGTTGGTTTTCAGAACACCAAAATTAGTGTGGTGAAGTATGACGGCAAAATTAACTTTGGTTTGTGGATGAGCGACGTACAGGATGCGCTCAATGCTCAGAATTTGGAAGAGACCATCATGGTCCACGAGAGGCCACCTAAATATGATGAGGCGATATGGGATAAGATGAATAGGAATGCGTGTGGGGTGATCAGGTCTTGTTTGGAACAGGAACTGAAATATGATGTGATTGGGGTGACGTCTGCAATGAAGATGTGGGAAATTATCAACAATAAGTATCTCACGAAGAGTGTTGAGAACAGGTTGCACTTACTGCGAAGACTCTTCAGATTTCAGATGTCCAGAGATACCTCGCTAGCGGCTCATGTGAACAACTACACTAAGTTGTTGTCGGACTTGGCGAATGTTGATGAGAAGATATCGGATGAGTACAAGGCGATTATTTTGTTAGGCTCCTTACCCGATGAGAAGTATGATACCTTCGTGCTCATTTTGTTGAATGGGAGATCTTCTATCAGCTATAGTAAAGTGACTAACGCTTTGACAAATTACGATTTGAGAAGGAAGGACAAGGAGACTTCACGCGCTAGTACTTCAGGAGAGGCCTTGTCGACGAGAGGTAGAAGCCCATATCCGAAAGGTGGTAATAGAGGAAGGTCAAAGTCTAGAGGCCGCCACTAATTAACAAAGAACCAATGTGCATTCTGCAAGGAGCAAGGACATTGGAAGAGAGACTGCCCGAAACTCAAGGAGAAAGAGAATGGCAAGAAAAAGGGCCTGAAGGCCAATGAGGTGAATATTACGAAAGGCGATGATTCCGATGATTCGTGCTTTTCTCTACTGATTACTCTAGAGGTGAATCATATGGATGCATCAGATTGGATGCTTGATTCTGATGCTACTTTTATGTGACCCCTAGGCGAGACTAGTTTGCATCTTTTGAGAAAGTCAACGGGGGCATTGTTATCATGGGAAATGATCAATCCTGTGGCGTTTGTGGGATAGGTACCGTACGGATTAGGATGCACGATGGAGTAGTCCGTGAGTTGAAGGAGGTGAGATTTGTTCCTCAACTGAAGAAAAATCTTATCTCAGTTGGAGCTTTGGAGGCGAAGGGATTCAAGGTGACTTTCGAAAATGCTGTAGCGAAGGTTACTAAGGGATCATTGGTGGTGATGAAGGGAGTCCACAATCGGAATTTGTATTATCTGAAGGGAAGCACTAAGATTGGCCAGGTTGCTTTGGCTACTTCAGAAGCGGACATGAACAGACTTTGGCACTATAGGTTGGGGCACACAGGTGAAAAGTCACTGCAGGCATTGTGCAAGCAGGGGCTATTGAAGGGAGCCAAGAGTGGAAAGATTGAGTTCTGTGAGCACTGTGTTCTTGGCAAGAAGACGAAGGTGAAGTTTGGGACTTCCATTCATCAGACGAGGGGCATCCTGGATTACGTGCACACAGACGTTTGGGGTCCCACCAAGACTGCATCCCTTGGTGGTCGATATTGGTTCGTTACTTTTGTAGATGACTATTCTAGACGTTATTGGGTGTACACCATGACGAAGAAGAGTGAAGTCCTAGATTTGTTTGTGGAGTGGAAGAAGAGATTGGAACTGCAGACTGGGAGAAAGATCAAGACGTTGCGATCCGACAACGTTGGTGAGTATACTTCAGATCCCTTTTTGCAGCTATGTCGAGACGAGGGCATAGAGAGACACTTCACGGTTAGTCATACACCGCAGCAGAATGGGGTGACAGAGAGATTAAATCGGTCTTTACTGGAGAAGATCTAATGCTTATTGTCGCAGAGTGGTTTGGAGAAGATCTTTTGGGCTGAGGCACTTACATATGCGAGCCACCTCATTAATAAGCTGCCTTCATCTGCGATTGAGGGGAAAACCCCTATGGAGATGTGGTCGGGAAAGCCAGCACACGATTATGACCAGCTCAAGGTATTTGGGTACCCTGCATATTATCATGTTAAAACTGATAAATTGGAACCTCGAGCTAGGAAGGTCATAGTGGTCGGGAGAGACAGCACATGACTATGACCAGCTTAAGGTATTTGGTTGCCCTGCATATTATCATGTTAGAACTGATAAATTGGAACCTCGAGCTAGGAAGGCCATATTTGTAGGATTCAAGCGTGGTGTCAAGGGATACAAGCTTTGGGATCCAGTTGATAAGAAGATTGTACTGAGTAGGGACGTCACGTTTGATGAAGCTTCTATCTTAAAGCTTCCCAGCTCTCATCAGGTGGAGAGCGACCCGACGGAGGAGATATCACAGGTGGTGGAGATCGATGCAACTCCACATTGTCCAGATGGTACAGTATCCATGCATGTACCGACTGAGGTGACGCCAGGCGAGCATGACGGTGATACAGAGGATATGAGTACAAATGTGCAGAATCAGGAACCGACGGCTCAGGTTCAGGATTCTATTACGGCTAGGAGACAGAGGAGAAACATACAGATGCCAGCACGGTATGCCGACCCAGTTGCGTATGCACTTCCGGTGGAGAGTATCGATGAGTTAGTGCCTACTACATTCAGTGGCAGGTGGCTATGCAGGAGGAGATGAAATCTCTTCATAAGAACGATACATGGGAGCTTGTTGAGCTTACAAAGAGGCTGAAGGCAATTGGTTGCAAGTGGGTATACACGAAGAAGGAGGGCATTGAAGGCACTCCGTTGAGATTCAATGCTAGGTTGGTTGCGAAGGGCTATGCACAGGAGGAAGGAATAGATTATAATGAGGTTTTCTCTCCAGTGGTGAAGCATTCTTCGATTCGGATTTTGCTAGCTTTGGTGGCACAGTATGGTTTGGAGTTAGATCAGTTGGATGTGAAGACGGCATTTCTTCATGGTGATCTTGATGAAGAAATATATATGACTCAACCATTGGGATTCCGAGCTGCAGGGAAACATAAATTGGTTTATAGGCAGTGAGCATGGTATCGAGATACATGCACGATCCAGGAGTGGGTCATTGGGACGCCGTGAGATGGATTTTGATGTACATTCGAGGTACGCTCAATGTTGGTTTAGTTTATGAGCGGGACACTACAGGTGGGCAGCTATGCATTGGTTATGTTGATTCAGATTATGCCGGGGATTTGAATAAGTGTCGGTCTACTACGGGATATGTGTTTACTTTGACCCGTACGCCGGTGTGTTGGAGAAGCACCTTATAGTCAACGGTGGCTTTGTCTACGACGGAGGCAGAGTATATGGCAGTTACAGAGGCTGTGAAGGAGGCTATTTGGCTTCAAGGACTTTTGGAGGAACTTGGTATATCGCAGAGGTCCGTCACTATTCATTGTGATAGCATGAGTGCTATCTATTTGGCAAAGAATCAAGTTTTTCATGTGCGGACAAAGCACATTGACGTTCGTTATCACTTCGTTCGGGATGTTCTTGAAGATGGCGATGTGCAGATTGTGAAAGTCCACACGAAGGATAATCCGGCGGATATGCTCACTAAAGTGGTTCCGAACAACAAGTTTGATCATTGTCGAAACTTATTGCACATTCGTGATTGTTGAGGCCGTTGGCGGCCATTTGGGTGAACTACGTTCGGCTTGATTCCTTGGGCAAGAGGATACATAGGCAGTCATGTTTGATACAGCCGGTTTGGATTAGTTGATGGGGTGAGATTGTTTGGAGCCGGTTCTCGACTTGTTG